AAATGATTCTTTGATTTGAATTTGATCGAATCGAATCAAATATAAATTTGTATTTGTATTTGATTTGATTTTCAAATTAAATATTCAAATATCAAATCGAATTGCGGAACCCTAGCGAGGGGTATTATAATATCATATAAAAAGTGATCGAAATGAACGTGTTAAATGAAATCAGAATTTTAATCTTAAATGTGTTAAACGAAACAACTAGTAAAAACAAAAAAATATAAAAGATAGTCAGGAATTTTAGTTTTGTTTTATTAAAATTGTATAAAACATGTCACCATCAAATGCAAATAAAGAAATGACGTCAATGGAATGTGCGAGAAAAGTTGGCTGTTTTAGCTTATCTTGAAAATTATCCACAAAAAAGTGTTGCGTAACAGCTGCTATGTTCAATATTGAGCCTGTTTAAGTTAGAAAATAGCGTAAACTTAAACAACAATTAATGGAAGCTTCATCTTGTACAGTGAACTCTTGATATAACAAATTCTAGGATCTGGATATCAACTTCGTTATAAGCTTATAACAAATTTTTTAAAGAATTTAATTGGCTAGTTCACTATAATAAAGGTAATTTTAATATATTTGATTTAAAAATTCGCTATATCAAGGGTTTGTTATATCAAGGTTTGACTGTATTCAATGATTAAATACTAGTTTACATTCAAAATATCCAGAACTTAAAGTAGTTTTAGATTAGTGGGTTAAGGGATTACGTCAAAATTTAAAAGTTGTGACCTGATCAATAATACAAATAAAAGCCAAAGCTCTTGCATGAACAGAACAATTTTATACCATATATCCTGATATTAAAGAATGCAAGTTTAGTAGCAAATGGATTGATGGATTTATGGTATGACACAAATTTAGTCACTGCCGATATACAACTATAGCATAATGATTACCTGAAAAGTTTGCCATCATTCTTATTATAATTTATCATTCTTACAAGTAATTGCTTATACTTAAATTATAAATATATTGGAAACTGGTTCAAAAACTGTTAGTATTCAAACTTGTAGATATGAAAAATCAAATTTTACTGTAATCTTGGCTTGTATAGCAGATGGAACAAAATTACAAACAACAATTATTTTTAAACTAGCAAAAGTTCTTCGACAAGTTTTTCCTTTGGGTATTATTATTCGGGCTAATAAAAAAGGTTATTCTAATACAGAAGAAATGCTTTTTGGATTGAAAATATTTGGAATCAACGTGTATCATTATCCAGTAATCCTCGTTCCTTATTAGTACTTGATTCTTTTACAGGTCATTTAGTAGATTCTGTTAAAAATTGACTTCAAGAAAAAAATACCAATATAGCAATTATACCTGGTAGACTCACTTCCAAATTGCAACCATTGGATGTATCAGTTAACAAATCTTTAAATCGAAAGTATGTTTTAAAATATTTATATTTGTATATTTATAATTAAATATTAAAACTTTTATTTATATGATAATAGTTACGTTATTACTATAATGATTGGATGGCTGAAGAAATAAAAACTTATACTCCAAGTGGCTGTATTCAAAAACCTGCTTACAATTTAGTTGCTCGATGGGTTAAAAATATGTGGGATGCAGTAAATCCTTCTTTAATTCGTCATTCATTCAAGTATTGTGGAATTTCTAATGCACAAGATGGAACTGAAGAACACCTTTTATTTGATTATAATAAAGTTACAGGAAGTAATGTTAATAATAATGGTAATTATATTTACTTGAGTGATGAAATGGATGATCAGCAAGTTGAAAATATAAAAACTCATTTTAATCTACAAGAAAAAGAAAAAAATGGTGTAGATGATAGAGAATGTGAAGATGATTATTATAAAAAACAAGAAATGAATTATATTAATGATTGGCATTAAATATATAGAAGTCAAGGTTGTGTTTGAGGTTCTTGCCATTATATTTGAAGTCCTAATTGTATTGGAGGTTCCTATTATTTTCTTGTTTTATTTGCTTTATCTTCTTTGATGCTCTATCTACTTCGGAATATAATGAAATATTTGTAGAATTGAAATAAAGAATAAAAAACATTTTTAGCTACCAATGTTATCAATTTCGTTCTAACAGAGTCATTAACTTAAAAAAATATAATATTATATATAATCTGCATATTGTATCTGGGTATTTATTGGGTTTATATGCTATGCGACTGATATAGTATCTAGATATAATTAGCCAGAGGTACTTTTTAAAGGAGGTACTTTATAGAGCACTATATGGTATATCGATTCTCATGATAGGTTTCAGGAGACAGAACTTCCTCCTATTCATGAATTTTATAGTACTCTTAAAAATAAAATCTCACAAGATGATTACAAACACGCTCAGAAAGTATGGAAGGAATTCAGATGTAAAAATCTAGGTGAATACCATGATCTCTATCTTAAAACTGATATACTTAGTCTAGTAAATGTCTGGACAGAGTTTCAAAAAATGTCTATAGAATATTATGAACTTGATCCCAGTCACTATATTTCTGCCTTATCACTATTCTGGGATGGAATGCTTAAGATGTCAGGAGTTAGGATTGAACTTTTTACAGATATAATTATGCATGATTTTACTGAAAAAGCTAAGCATAGTGGTATATCTATGGCCTGTCAACGATATTTTAAGGCCAATAATCCCAAGATAGGAGAAGCCTATGACCTATCCCAACCAACTACATATAGTTTATATGTAGACGCAACAAATCTTTATGGACATTCTATGAGTCAATATTTGCCTATCGAAAAATATCAATGGAAAGCTAGTCGGGAATATTTACTAAAAAATCCAGCTATGCAGAAGAAATATCTTGAAAAGATTCTCAATATACGATCTGATGCTAAATGAGGGTATTTCTTAAATATTAATGCTCATTTTCCTCTAAAGACTCATGATTATTTAAAAGACTTACCTCTAGCTGTAGAAAATATCGCTGTAAAAAAGGATTGGTTAAGTTCTTATAATGCTAAACTTGTAGAACAATTAGATGGTAGACGCTTCTCTGTCACAAAAAAATTAGTTTTCCATCTTGGATCACGAAAGAACTATGTCATCCATTACCAAGAGCTCCAATATTATGTAGAATTAGGTATAGTTATAGATGAAGTTTCAGAGATACTCTCTTTCAACCAGACTAACTGGCTTGAACCATATATATCTTTTAATACTGAGAAACGTAATGAGGCTAAAAAAGCTGGAAATACATTCCTGAGTGACTTTTTCAAACTTATGAATGTATCAGTATATGGCAAGACTATAAAGAATGTTCGCAAGTATCAGGATATTAAGATTATGAAGAATAATAATGAGTGAGATGAAAAAGCTTTCTTGAATAAGATCTGCATGCTATCTTTTAAGTATGGTAGACCACTAGGACCTACATTAGCAGGTGCTCATATGGGAAAGGCTAGCATGACTCTCAATAAGCCTATTATAGTTGGAGCATCTGTTTTAGGATTTAGCAAGCTTCACATATATAAATTCTGGTATGGTTATTTGAAGGAAAAATATGGGGACGATGTTGAACTTGGCTATATGGATACAGACTCTTACATCTTCAAAACTAAGACTGAAGATATCTATAAATATATGACTGAATAACTGGATCTCTTTAATCTTAATGGAGATCAAACAGTTGGCAAATATAAGGATAAGACCTAGGTAATGTAATCACAGAATCATTTCAAATCCGATCCAAGTCTTACCATTATGTCTTAGCAGATAAGACCACAAATTCAAGACATAA